TTTCTTCGCACTTTCATTACTCGCGACTGATCAAAATGCAGCCCTAACATTAAACGAAATCGATGATTGCTTGCTTATAGTCACTAACTTAGAAAGCATTTAATTAGGAGGATTGACATGAATTAAAACCCGACCATATATTTGACACTGTATGATTGACAATTAATCCAATCCAATTTGAGTCATAATTAGGTTGGTATATTGTCCAACATGATGAAATGTAAGTGCATATAGTCGAACGTGATGAAATGTAAGCACATAGGTCAGCAACACTATTCTTATTATGGTAATAAGTGAGTCATAAGCATTTAATTAGGAGGATCGACACGAATTAAAACCCAACCAAATATTTGACATTGTATGACTAGCAACTAATCCAACCCATTTTGAGTCACAATTAGGTTGGCATATTGCCCAACTCGATGAAATGTAAGCGCATAGATCAACGAAAATATTCTTATTCTGGTAACGAGTGAGTCATAAGCATTTAATTAGGAGGATTGACATGAATTAAAACCCAACCAAGTATTTAACATTGTATGATTGACAACTAATCCAACCCATTTTGACTCATAATTAGGTTGGCATATTGTCCAACGTGATGAAATATAAGCACATAGATCAGCGACACTATTCTTATTCTGATAACGAGTGAGTCCTAAGCATTTAATTAGGAGGATCAATATGAATTAAAACCCAACCAGATATTTAACATTGTATGATTGGCAATGAATCCAACCCATTTTGAGTCATAATTAGGTTGGCATATTGTCCAACGTGATGAAATGTAAGGGCATAGGTCAGTGACACTATTTTTATTATGGTAATAAGTGAGTCATAAGCATTTAATTAGGAGGATCGACATGATTTAAACCCAACCAAATATTTGACATTGTACGATTGGCAACTAATCCAACCCATTTTGAGTCATAATTAGGTTGGCATATTGTCCAACGCGATGAAATGCAAGCGCATAGGTCAGAGACACTATTCTTATTCTGGTAACGAGTGAGTCATAAGCATTTAATTAGGAGGATCGACATGAATTAAAACCCAACCAAATATTTGACATCGTATGATTGGCGACTAATCCAACGTATTTTGACTCATAATTAGGTTGCCATATTGTCCAACGTCATGAAATGTAAGTGCATATATCAGCGACACTTTTCTTATTCTGATAACCAATGAGTCCTGAACATTTAATTAGGAGGATCAATAGGAATTAAAACCTAACCCAATATTTGACATTGTATGATTGGCAACGAATCCAACCCATTTTGAGTCATAATTAGGTTGGCATATTATCCAACGAGGTGAAATGTAAGTGCATAGGAATCATAGGCTATAAATATAGATGATTTCCATCAAATTGATCATTCACAAAAGCAAAAGAAAGGCGCTATAGCAAAGTGATTAGAGATGTACCTCTAGTCGGGCAGTGATCTACCAAAAAATTTCTTTTGATAGCAAACTTTGCTTTGCTTTATTTTTTGGTAAATCACTGATCTGATCAGAGTTCATTCCTTTTATCAATATCAACGTGGTAGTGGTGAAAAGATGTCGAGTGATGGACCTCAGTAATTTGCAATTCGAGAGAAGGTTTATTGAGTTTTTATTGATTTTCTTGCTATTTCCTCATGTCATCTGTTTCTTATCCCGTTCCCTTTCTTTATAATGGGCGATTTTACTTTCTTTTTTTCTTGTTTCGTCTCTTGGTGCAGGTAGAAGTGACCAACATGTACAGTGGCATGAGATCGAAAAATTCACAAGATATGTTAAGCATTGTTGTGGATAAATGAGATTCTTTTGTTAATATTTATAGTAGAAGTTAAGTTTATTTGCCTGTTCTTTTATGATCGTTTGGTGAAGATTAAGAGAGATTGTACTCTAGGCAAAAGCAAATTTGTCACCATGATTGTAATTCAGTATTTTACCTTGTTTTTCTGTTTGTTTGATGTTTGCACTATGTTAGCCCACTTTTAATCATGTGACCTTTTACTGCACGACATGGAGGTTGTCAATGGTCTCCATTTGCAACTTCAAGAAGGACAATGCTCTTGTAGTTTCAATTCCCAAAACAGTTGATAATAGATTAAGACCATGGCATAGGTCTACAAAGCTTCGGAGACGGCTAAGCTAAGGTGGTGGCCAATAAAAATGACTTCTTGAAGCTTGAAAAACTACAAACCAAAAAGAGGGTCTTGGCTGAGCTCACCAAAGGGGATTTTGATGATTGCCAACCGTCGTGAGAAAGGGTAATCGGAGGTTGTGGAGCAACGTCAACGGTCTGGGTGACAATTTTTAATAATATTTTAATGTTTTTTGAATTATTTATTTATTATTTTCTTTTTCTTTCCTTTCTTTTTTTTTTTCTTCCCTTCTTCCTCTAGCCGATCGCTGGGCCTCAGAGATGGCGGACAACCAGCCAGAGGCAACCTCGGCCTCAAGTGAGCTTCACCTGCCCTTGGCAAGGCTCGACCTTGCCATCGCTTGGCGAGACTCGCCCTCGCCAGACGATGGCAAGGTCAACCTTGCCAGCCCAGCGATGGCAAGCCTCGTCCCCTCGCCATAGGCCGGAGGGGGCAAGCTTCGCCGGAGGCCGGCAATCGGAGAGAGGAAGAAGGGAAGGAAAAAAAAAAGAAAGAGAAAGAAAAGAAAAAAGAAAAAATTCGAAAAACATTATTAAAAATCGTTTACGTTAGCGCTGACTACATCACGTAGGACGGATGGCATCCATGTCAGCGATTTCCCGGTCAAAATTGGCCCGATGCACTGAATTGACACAAATGCAAAAGGTTTGAGACTCAATTGGAAAAAAAAAATATATTTAGGACTAAATTGACACAATTACTATAGATTTATGACTTTTTTCATAATTCTCCCCATGACTTTGTATTGATTCTTGGTCAACCATTATCTTGTGTCCATCCCAATTCCCACAACTTGACATTATTTCCACCGAATTTGATGGAAAATGGTATGCTCTTAGTGATGAAATACAAAAAATGTGAATGCACAATATTGATATTATTTTTTAGGTCTGGCCAATTCCTAATTTTTTATGCAATGTATGATTTGGCGGCATAGTCAAGATTTAGGTGTCAACACACGTCACACTTTTAACGATAAAATTGGACGGAAAATTAACGGGGGCCAGATTTGTATTTAGAGGGAAAGTTGGTGATTTTTTATGAAACAAACAAAAGTTTGAGTTAGAATTATTATGACGGGTCCTAAATATTGTCCTTTTTAAGGGAATTAGGCCGATAATGTTAATGCATAGAAGTGAAGTATTTTGGTGGTTAAGCATATGCAATCCGTTTCATCAGTTGTTTCTACTCTTCATTTTTCACAAAAGTACGGTAAATGTCAATGGGATATATTTCATGCCAAGGAAGATGATTTGAAACGGTGATTAGGCATTTCTCGTCATATTTTGTCATGGATGTTCGTGCACATTTCATACACGACTTTGATCATGCAATTGAGCAATCACTTCTTTATTTTAAAAAATGCTGTAGATTGGTATATGGTTTTATGGAACTTATCTCGTTTTCCTTCTTGTTTTATGCTTCTAGCATTTGCTAGAGTCGGGAGATGCACTTGACATGCTAGCAAGTACCTATTCAAGTGATGTGCAAAATGTAGCTCAAAACATTTTCTTGATTATATGCATTTTTATGAATATTTTTCTAACATATACTTTTGATTAGTTGGCAACATTATGTTCTATCTCAATGTTTCACTTTAACAATCCTAATTTTCATGCCTCCTCTCTCTCTCTCAATACAATTCTCCATACTTTCATATAGGGAGGGAGGGAAGCTTTCAGAATCTTCCCTCATTTCTTCACTTTCACCACCCAATTTTTCATTCATCTCTCTCTCTAGTCTCTGATACAATTCTCATGTCATTTTGTAGAAAGAGAAAGGGCTTAAGCTTTCAAAATCTTCTCTTACAATTTTTTTTAATGGAAATTTTCGCTCATATTTTAATAAGCCTTATTAACGATTCCGTGCCTTTCGGCTTTTGAAACGCATGGGAGGAAGCGAAATGAGTGATGCCCACCCATTGCGCCAACCCAAGACGAGAAATAAGTAAAGCAGGGCCCTTTCCATGGAACTTCGAACTTTGCCTCTCTTTAAAGTTCAAATTCTCGCCTCTTGCTCTATATCCATTCATCAGTACCCATTATATTTGAACAACAAAAAACCCAACTCCATCATATAACAAACACCCAAGTAGACCCTCATAAACAAAAAAGAAAATGTCTGCGGTAAAGTTGACTAAGTTCTTGCTCATTCCCGAATCTCTTGCTCTCTTCCTTAAATTTCGTTCTGTTCATCCTCTCTGTAGCAACTTTCGCTTGCATAACGCTCCTCAGAATATCCCAACTTCGCCCGGCCTCGTGTTCCTCTTAATATTGTCCATGTGGCTCGTCTCCTCTTTGTGGGCTTCTATTCCCAGCTCACTCGCTTCTGCTTCACAACCCACGTCTGAATCTTCCTCGCTTCGCTGTCCAGCCAGGTGCTTAGCGTCCTGGCGCTGTTCACCAAGGAAACGTCAGACCTTTCGCTGCTGAGATCACAGAGAAACCCAAAAGCGGCTAAAGTCCTGGTGAGGCTGGAGTGCGGGGTTTTGATGGCTATGTTGCTGATGGAGTTGGTGGTGTTGATGCTGATGTGCACCGCGCATGGTTGATGGGTGACGTAGCACGAAGGGTTAGGCGCAGAGAGGGACGCGGGCGAAGAAGCAGAGCATGATGGGATCGATGGCCATCTTGTGTAGTATGGAGAATTTGTGGGGATCGTTGCTCTATTTGAATGGATGAATATTGATGGCCACGTTGCCAATTCTTTGAAAATTTGGGTTCACCTTAATCCGACAATGAGCAATGAAGTATAAAAAAAACACATTGACAGAAGGTGTGCACTTGACAGCATACATAAACTTTAGTTTAAGTATGGCTGATGTCACAGTTTAAAAGTCTTAAAACATGAGTAAACACCATAATATTCGCATTTCACACACACTAACAAGGGCAAACAAAGATCATCACAAATGTCCTTGTCTACTAATAAGCCAGGATTATTCCCAAAGCTTCAAGGGACGGTAGAGGCGAGGCCAATAGGTGGATACGACCATTTCAAAATACAAGGGAAGTTGTAGGATTGCGAATAATACGACAGGGATGGCAGCGAACAAAGTAATTGGAATGTAAATCCACATCAATCGCTCGCTCTGGAGGAATCGTTCGCTCAGTACGATGGTAAGAGCAGAGCCGAATGCCACCAACATAAAGGCCAGGGAGAGGAAGAGAAAAGTGAGGCCCAGTATCATTTTTCCCGGTAGTGACATGAGAAAATCTTCTGCAGTATAGCGTGAAGTTAGGATAGCCAAGAACATCAAGGTGGCGGTGACAGAGGAGAAGAGAGCAAAAGCGTCTGAAACCGCAAATACCATGAAAGAGACCCTTTTCAGAAAGATCGGGATCCCTTCATCGTTATTGCCTCCCGGTACTTGAAAAGTTGCAGCAAAAGCTACCGTAATGATGAGAGTCGAGACAAGGCTACAAGATGCTGATGTATCCTTCATCCACTCCCCCGCCTCTTTGAGCAATTGTTTGCGATTTTCGACAAAATCATCCCAATATGGTTTTTCATCATCTGGCAATCTCAGACTTTTTAAAGCAGGATCGATCGTACCTGGCAGCATCTTCTGCAAATTTAAGGACGCCTATCAATGTAAATCTAAATAAAAAAGAGCGCAAAAGGGTGGCAAACAAATAAGGTGAACCAACCTTAAATTTCAGACTTTTAGAAGAGGGATCACTTGTATCTTCCAGTACCTTCAGAAAAATAAAGGACGCCTATCAATGTAAATGTAAATAAAAAAGCACAATTGAGTGACCAACAAATAAGGTGAACCGACCTTAAACCACTGGAGTTCCCTCTGCATAACAAAAGGTGCTCCAGAAACATCTGTCAGTAGACATCTTGGTGACCATTCTACTACTGCCTTCATCAGGATGTCTTTCCTCATCGTATTAGCAGTCAAAAATGGAATTGTTCTGGCCGCATTCACTAGTCTAAACAACTCCACATACCGTCTGTTCACAACTTCTTTTATCAGTTGTTTTGTGAAATTTTCATTCCATGTCAACTCTGGAAAATGCTCGAAACACAACTTGACAATTTCAGAGATTCCACGAGATGCAGCCTCAAGGACAATGTTGGAAAGAAGCTCAAGTATTTTGGGAGTTTCCATATGAGTCTTCATCTCATTAAGAACTAGATCAGCAAACTCAAGCGAGCATTTGTGCCTCAATCCAATCCTATTGATCAAAAGTGATGCACCTACATATAAGCAATTTTCCAAACGATGAAGCAAATTTTGTATGGCTTGGAAATCAAAATGCATGCGTAAGAGAACAGATGAATCTGTCGATGAACACCCAATGTCATGAGAAATTAATAGTTCTTTTTTTAAAAAAAAAATTGGTAGATTCTGCAACATATCAATAGATCTGGTTTCGATTGATTATTTTTACAGATTCCCCTAATAGATATATGACGTTTAGACTTAGAATTGAATCTTATTGAATCGTGTTGCAATATATAAATTGAGAGTCGGTCCATATTACTATATACGATCGGGATATACTGAACATATCAATTTACATTTTAAATTTAGGGATCTCTACCCATGGATGAAATAAGGTGCTTCTTCTATAAATACCACAGCAGTTTTGTGTACCTGGTTTTGTGGCAAGATTCCAGAGTGATATCTTGAACCACTTAGGTGCTAGTGCCACCACCACAAAGAGGAGACAAGCATCATGTCAACAAATTAGGAATTAATGATGAACAAAAAGATATATTAGACAATAACCAAATTTAACAGTGCTTAACTGTGCTAGACAACTTGGATCCATCAACCTTTATGATCTGAGATCCAATTCCACTTGGCAATTTGACATTGAGTAAGATTTCTCGACTAACTTTACAAATGTTACATTAGATATTAATTTGTGACATACGTCATGGTTTAAATATTTATTTGTGTAGATAGATGTAGTCCTTGTCCCTTAACGTTTTTGTCAATGGGATCCCTGGATGATATGCTTTTTGCCGTGTTACTCCATCCATTAAACAGATTATCAGAAATACCTCGAGGCATCTTCGTTTCTTCGGATTTGTCAATATCGACCAGGTATAAAAGGATACCTACAACTGGGAATAGATAGAGTGATTAGAGACTATCTTCGTGGATAGAGTTGCTCGGATTGTGCGCATCAGATAAAAAAAAGCGCAAGAAGTACCTACATTTATCAATAGATTTTTCCCAAAAATTGAGTCTAGCTCCACTACGGAAGTTAGACTCCATCTTCGCCAAGTATCCCAAAATGCTATTGTTTTCGTCACGTAACACTGAGCCTTGGAATCGCTTAGCTAAATACAAAGCTATGTCTTTTGGGACACAACAACAAAAAGTTAATCCAAGTAAAGAGTGATGGAAAAGAGATGAGCGAGTGTAATTTCTTACCCGAATGGCCGGCCACAATAAGGTTGGACATGGTATCATAATTTGGGGCGGATTCTGTAAGTTTGGCCAGATACCAAATTACGTCCTTTTGCTTAGGAGCATATCTAGTAGCAATCTCCAGTGCATCGGGTACACTTTCAGGTTTAGCATCAACTCTGTTCACTAATGCCTTTACCATTTTTATTCTTCCTCTCATGGCAGCATTCCGGAGGGAAATACTGAAATCGAACTCTTTTTTATCTGGAGGAAAGCGCTTGATCAGGTTCTCGACCAATTGATCTTGTGAGGCCATAATCGCAACATCAAGCACAGTAACTGATTTATCTTCTACTTTCATAACTTTGGCCGTCATTACTTCGGGATCTTCCTTGAGTTTTTTCTCTATAGTTTTCCATTCACCTTTCTGTGCGGCTACAAACAATTGTCGATAATCTTTATTGACCGCTGGCATTGGCATAACTGCAAGAATTGCACATCAAAATTTCTCAGGCTTTCGCACTTTCTGTGACAATTGCACCTGCTCAAAGTTCTTGATGAAACGCAGATGCAAGCGAAGGGGCTGCTGTTTACTCAACAGACCTTTTCCTGTGAGCACGTTCATTTACTCTTTGAAAGTAAAAAGTTTTTTCTTTTGGGCTTTCCCAATTATAATTCCAGATATTGTTCATATTTCAAAATTAAGAAAACATTATATTTGAATTGAAATGAAGCATTTGTATGCTGCGACATTTAAAATGTTTAGGATTAAAAAAGTTAAAATGTAAACAAGATTTATGAAAAACAAATATTAAAAGTTCAAAGTGACAAACCTTTAAGTGGTCTGCGACTATCTTGAGAAGCTTTATTAGGGCCCGTTTGGCAACGTGCCAAACGATGAAAATTTCTGTTCTTTTGTTCCCAGAAATAGTTTGGGAACAGAAATGCGTTTGATAAATTTTTTTTTTCCGGGCACATTTTTGCAAAAATTTGTGCCGAGAAACAGTTTTGGAAGAGAAACAAGAAGTAAAAAAAAGTTACTTCTTGTTTCTCGGCACAATTTTGAGAATCAGTTTTTTTTCTTCTTTTTCTTTTTTTTCTTTTCTTATTTTTGTGTTGTTCTTCCCTGGGCTGGGCCGGCGGCCGGCCACAGCCCAGGGCCGGCGAGGGCGAGGGCTGGACCCTCGCCGCCCGGGCGAGGCCGAGCCTTGCCGTCGGTCGCGACGGCGAGGTCGGCCTCGCCCCAGACGGCGAGGCTCGGCCTCGCCCAAACCGGCGAGGCCGAGCCTCGCCGTCGCAACCCACGGCGAAGCCGACCTCGCCCGGCGAGGGCCGTGACGCCCTCGCCGGCCCTGGGCTGTGGCCGGTGCCGGCCGCCGGTCGCCGGCGACCGGCCATGGCCAAAGAAGAAAATGGGTAGAAAGAAAAAAAAAATTAAACAATTCAAAATATTATTAAAATATTATTTGGGAACAGAAATTTTGTGTAGTTACCAAACGCATTTCTGTTCTTTTCTACTCTAGGAATAGAAATTTTGGTCAGTTTATCAAACGCCTTCAAATACTCAGAAATTATTTCCGGGCACAGAATAAAAAAAAATCATTTCTGTTCAGAAATAGTTCCCGGGCACAGAATGATATTTATGCGCACCCTTAGTTGTCGTGCCTTATGAACACATGTCTACATGAAACTCTTTGTTACCACAAAGAGAATTGGACATAAATAACTTTAAAAAAATTAATTTCACTTTGTATGCTTTAGATCATCTAAACATGACTACTGTCGGGCTCATTCATTGCATGAAATTTTATGTATTAACGTCAAACTTAACAGAGATCGCGAGAATTATTTTTGAGATACGTATTGTATTTTGTAGGATTCTAACTTTTATGACTTGGAAAATGTGTTATTAGTGAGTTTTTATTTCTCGTTGCCATTGATCTATCTACAATATCATTCATAAATTACGAGCATGTTCTTTTACTCTTGGAAGTAAAGAAGTTTTCTTTTTGGAGCTTCCTCAATTATAATTCAAGATATTATTTAGATTTTAAAAATTATGAAAACATTATATTTGAATTGAAATGTTAACATTTGTACATTGTTAAATTTAAAACGTTTTGGATAAAAAAAATTCAAAATGCTTGAAACACAAGATTTAGGAAACACGAAAATGAAAATTTCAAAGTGACAAACCTTCAGTTGGTCCGCGGCCATCTTGGGAAGCTTTATTAGTTACTATGCCTTCTGAGCTCACGTCTATGAGGACCTCTTTGTTACCAAAAACAAAAAGGAACATGAGTGAACTTAGAAAAATTAATTACACCCTGTATGCTTTAGATCATCTATACATGACTAGTATGAGGCTCATTCATTGCATGGAATTTTCTGTGTTAAACTTAGATGGTAAAATTTTAACCCACAAAAAGCGAAATTACCCCGATTTTCCCATCGCCTTGTGGGATCAAATCAGAACAACAAAGGTAAGAACGGAACATACCTGGCGGTGGTGGCAATGTTGACCGACTGCTTTGGGGATCCATGGAGGATAGCACTGTAAAATTCCTGAAGCAGAATAAGTGTGTTTTTTCGTGGTTGAAGTCGAAGTTATTTTATAGATGGACTTGTGGACGGAGCCCAAGTTCCAGCTGTCGGTGTCGTGTTTAACACATAAAGATAGAACGTTTTTCATGTGGGAACAACACTTTCTCTTTTCGAATTGGTTCACATATCACGCAAGGCACAACACCCGTACCATTCTCTTTTCCTGAATGACGACTTCATTTTAAAAAAAATTATGACGTCAACAAATCAATGGGAATTCATTTTAGTTACAGAAGTGTAAAATTGGAAATTTTACTAAAAGAAGGCACAAGTGTCGCATGATTTATTTATTTCTTTTATTCCTTTCTTCCTTCCTTCCACCTTCCACCGTCCCCTGCTTCGCAAATAACACATTTCAATGGATTTTTATTCAATGCACTGGCGATGTAAAACTTTCTTTGCATAATGCTGCCGGTCAGCTCCTAGTTGAGTTAGTCGGTAGAGACCTTAAGGTAGCAATGATCCCAAGGGTTAAGGTAACCAAGCAACTCTAGAAGGAGCATCCTCCGATTACCTTAATATTTACTGGGGACATGTTTTCCTCCATTGTTGGCCAGAAAAAAATATCCTCCTATCAGTTCATGTGGGTTACATGCTTGAATGTTACCCATACATAACTCTAAAATATAACAAAACATTAAAAAAAAAAAAGAACAGAGCACCAAAATCAGCCCACCCCCTCTCTTTCTTCCTTTCTTTCTACTTGTTCAACCAGGCCACTGCACTCTCACCACACTCCGGCTCGGCATCTCCGGCGCTCGGTCTCGCTGCATCCACTAGCGCGTCTCTACTTTGGTCCCGTCCACTGCGAGTGAATCATTGCTGATGGCCTCGCTCGCTATCGACGAAGGCTCGGCGATCCTTATTAGAAATTATCCACGTCAGCGTCAGCCGTGCCACATAGGACGGTCGGCGTACACGTATCCGGCTAAAATTAGCCGGATGGACTTAATTGACAAAATATGAAAAAGTTTAGGACTCAATTGACACAATTAAAAGTTTTAGGACTAAATTGGTAAAAGTATGACAGGTTTAAGACTTTTTGAACAATTTTCCCATCACTCTACTACTGTGGGTATCCTTGGAGGATTCTTTGCCGTGATGCCTAGTGAGCACTGTAAATTTCTAAAGTAGATAAGTATATTTTCACGGTTGAAGTCGAAGTCATTATGTATTCTCATGGATCTCCTTTTCTAGATGTCATATATAAGAAGAAAAGAAAAAGAAAGATGGAACATTTTTAATGTGTATTGTCGGTCGCGGGAACAACACTTTCTCTTATTGACTACTTTCTCTTTTCAAACTGTTCACATGTGACGCAAGGAACAACACTCGTACCATTCTCTTTTCCTGAATGGCGATTTCATTTTGTTCGCTCGTTTCACGAGGAATATCCTTCACCGAAACTTCGGTGTTCGGTTTTTATTAAGGTAGGTTCTGTGGTTTGATCACTAGGAAAGTTGTGGCGAAAAATAAAGTGTGACACGGGATTATATGGAATGGATAGAAATCGGATGGATTGAAAATGGATCTGGGATCAACAGAGTTCCAAGCTACGTTACAATACTCCTATGAAAGCTGAAAAGGACTCGAAAGTTAACTAAAGCTACAGGAAAGTGTAAATACAGGAAGTAAAGATGCATAGGAAACTAAAATGCAGATAAGCTTGAGTGTTTTTGCATTGTTCTTCGTGGTCCTCATTTCTTCTTTCTTCTGAGTATTTATATCTCCTCCTATCCTGTAACTGCTTGTCGGTTACTTCTTTGTTTTCGAACTTCGAATCTTGGCGCTTTCAATAACTGCCTTATCTACCCACGTTTTCCAATTTCATTGTCCACCAAAACTTGATCTCAACCGCTGAGATGACTTCCAATTTGAATAAATAATCTCCCATGATCTGCTCGTGCTCACTATCTCCACTTTTTGCTCATAACTTCCTGTTGTCACAATTTTCGTGACTGGGTTGTGATCTTACCGATTTTCGGTAGCTTCAACATTTCCCGAAATGTAAACTTTTCATGTTTCGGTAAAATTACCGATTCTCTCCAATCACAGAATTCGGGACATGGTGCCATTCATGCTTACTACATTCCCGAATTTTATCCAAACGTACTTCGGCAGACGACTGAGCTCCATTGTCCGTCAGATTCTGACATTAAACCGACTTGACATCCATGCTAATTTTGGTGTAAACAGATGCCCCATTTTAAAAGAATTAAAAGAACTTTTAATTCTTTTAAATGTCAAAGAAATAGTACCTATTCTTGACGTCACTTCGTCACCTTGCTTCGCGCGCCTACCTTTTCGTCTCCAAAACACTTTCTATAAAAATCGTTCCTTTTTCGTTCTTCTTCATCTTCACCTTTTTGAATCTCTGCAATCTTTTCCGACACTCTACTAAAATCCATGGCTTCCAAAGCTTCCAAGGACCAAACTTTCTCCTTTTCTGCATCAGATGCCCTCGACCGATATTATCTATTCCGGGATTCTGATAATTTCAAAGAAGGATCCTCATCCGTTCTCTCGTACGGAATGATTTTGAAGATTCTTATATCCTTGGCCCCGCTGCTCACAATCACTTTTTCGTTCCACAATGCCTATCAAACTGCTTCCCTCGTCATCAGATTGAGGTACTTCCCATCCACGAGTCATCTATTTTGGCGTACCGGTGGTATTCTCGTCCTTCTCGCCTTAGGGCTTTCTCGATTCCGATTCTCGAGTTCTATCAATGGTACCTTCGTCTTCTTCCTTCTAAGGGTTCTCTTTGGAATACCCTTTCCATCCACGATGCTTTGCGTCTTAGTTGTTTCGACTACCATGTGAATCGGGAACTAATTGGCGCATTGTCCTGTTTTTGGTCATCTTCGACCAACCGCTTC